GTAAATTCTTAGTGACAAAATTGCCAAATTTATATTCCCTCCATTTTTTTAAGTGCATCTGTTTTACCGACACTAAATTTTAGGATGGCCTGGTGAATTGATTAAAGTAAAATTTTGTGTAGGTGGAATTCGTTCGAAGATAAAAATTTTTAAATTGAAATTAGTTGAGCGATGGTTATAAAAAAATAATTAATAAAGGATGTGAGAGGAGCGTAATAATACTAATATTAATAATAAAAAAAAGTGTGGTAACCATGTGAAGATGGAGTATAATTAAAAATATGTATGATAAAAAGATGTCCAAAAAAAAAGAAAGTAATGCATTTACATAAAAATTGTCGCTTTAGAAAATGATGCACAAACATTTGGAATGGGTTGGAATGAAGTTAGAATCCATTCCATCTAGTTTTTTGTTTGGCTGAGGTTTTTAGTAATGGAATCTCATACCCAAGAGGTTCTAACTCTCCCCAATACCCATGGAAATCCCATACTCACCCCTCCCCCTAAGATTCACAATCCATTCTATTAATGAAGGATAGAATCCATTCCAACAATAAAACCAAACAACTTTGGACTAGTATGAGTTTTAGAATCCATACCTCTTAAGTATGAGATTGCATACCAATCCATTCCAACTTGATGAACCAAACATTCCCTTAGTTGATTGTATGTAGAAGAAATAAGATGACCAAATAGGAAATCATATTATTCAAATATTCTTTTAATAGATTTTGGCAAGAATAGTCACGAAGTATAAATTATTAGAATAATATTTTAGTTGACTTGTACGTATAGAAGAAACAAAAAATAGAAAATTCATATATATTATCTAAATATTCTCTAAAATGATTTTGGCAAAAAAAAAAAAAAAAAAATAAAAAATAAAAATTGGATGGATGGTTTTAGAGGGAAAAAAATTAGCACCAAGAAGTGACACGTGTTATTCTTGGTGTCTATTTTAGTATTATCTAAATATAATCTTGAAAATTGTATAAAATTGGGAATTTATGACAAAAACATGCGTAAATCAGTGTAATTAGTGTTTATATTTTTATAATTTCCTAAATTTATACGATTTTCTAGTGTGTATTTAATACTTATATGTAACCCTAAGGGCTATACAGGACGGCTATAGGCCTGTGCAAAGAGACCCATAGCACAGAGCCCCGAAATGAAAAGGGCCTCCATTTGAAAATTGCTTGGTAGTGATATAAATAAAATTAATGTCTAAAGTAATATGTAAATGAAATCTGCTAAGTTTGTAGCAATCACAATGTTAAGTCATCTAACCTTTGTTTGCTGTCCCATGGTTCAAACCCCTAGAGCTACTTTTTTTTTTTTTTTTTTTTTTTTTTTTTTTTTTTTTTTGTAATATTATCACATTCGCAAACTTAATAATACGAACATAAGTTTTATGTGGTTTATCATGTAAAAAAAAAAAAAAAAAAAGCTAATAACAACGAGTTTAAGACTATAAAACATAATTTCATATTTAAAATTACACATTTCAAAATTATCGGACCTAATTAAAAATAGCATAGGGTCCCTAAATTGTTTGAGATGACCCTGAGGGTATGTATAACATTTTTCTTTTAATAGTTTAGATTAAAACCAAAGAAAAGGAGAAGATTCAAGTTTCTCAAGATGAGAAACATTATAAACATCTCAAGGGGGTATAATGGGTTTTTCCTTCAATAAATTGGGGATATTTTCAGTTCGAATGGCAAAATCCCAGCTAATCCAAACGGCGTTAATGCCGTGAACTACTCACTCTTCTCAACAATGGAAGTTGAGGCAATTCTGAACAATGTAGCTCGAAAATCAATGGATGATGGAAAATTCACTAGCAAGTAATAAACACCTTCCCTCTAGGGTTAATCATGCCCTTAATTTGTATATTTATCTTAGGGTTTTTCGTTGTTTCACCGTCAAAATGGTGTGGTGTTGGGGTTGAGCCGATCGGGTTTGTTGTGGTGTTGATGGTTTTGGGGTTGGTGTTTGGTCGTACGAATGCTCGTATCTGCCATTGTTGTTGTCTTGTTAAGATATGAAGGTCGAAGGAACGAAGTAGAAGGCAGAAGAACAAAGAAGACGGAGGAAACTGACGGAAAAAGGAGCGTTTGATAATTTTCTTTTTATTTATGGTTTTTGCCATTAGAGAAACACCTCACGTTTCTCATCTTGAGGAATTGGGGCTCTCTCGAAAGGAAAGGGCATGGCCCACCCTAGACTCTAGTTCCGCCATTAACGTGAATAGTATTAAAATCAAACTAGGACAATTAAATAAAAATGAAGAGTACAGTGAACGCATGAAGCATCAAAAGATAAGAACAAACAACCTTCGAAGAAATTAGCTATGGTATATAATATACCAATTAGCTTATACTCAACGATTAATGCCGACGAGGACCACAATCAAGCATTGACTTTCATTGCATAATTAAAAAAAGGGATATCATTAACTATCGCATAATAATAAAGATGGTCATTGACTTTTTGTAAGGTTATATAAGAAGTGCAAAGACAAGTACGTTATTCGTATACTCATAAAACAAGCTCAAAAATATGAAGGCAAGGAAATATGTCAATGTTGAAGTTTTCCTGCTCATTGTTGCCATTATTGTCATGATGATGGCCACCGGCGCCGTAGCCGCCCCGAGACGATTGGTGCAAGCAGCAATGGGAACTGTGCTTTGGCAGTCGCCTCTCGTCTGCAATGATTTAGGGGACCCTTGTTGGGTTGGTACATGTTGCATATTACACTCATGCAGTGACCGGCTTGGTGGCACTTGCCAATGAGATTAATATATGCATGGTCTCCTACTATATATATATATTTTAGTAAATAAGTTACATTAAAATTTGTGTTTTTTGATTTAAAAAATTATAGTTTTACTATTTGTGGGCCATTGTGGCAAGGTGGGGAGAAATTTTGGAGGGTGTTAACTCCTATTTATCATCTTCTCAGCTTCCTCCCACCTTCTTCCCATTCATCTTCTTTTTCCCACCTTATTCCTCTTCTTCTTCCTCTTGTTCTTTTTTCTTCCTCTCCACCCACCTTTATCTTCTTTTTCGAGCCGGTTCAACTCCGCTAGCACCATTATTTTCCGGTGGCCTCTGAAATTAAACAAATATCCAAGAACAAAGGGAGATATAAAGGGCATGGTTAACCTTAAAGGGTAAGTAAGCTTTCCTTCTCATTGATTTCGACTTAGCACCAGGCAAAACCGCTAGAATTATACTAATAGCCGAATAACAAAGGGAAAAATAAGGGAATGATTAACCCTAAAGGGTAAGGCAAAACCGATAGAATTATAATTTTTGAATCATGGGGCGGGCCATGATCTTGGTGACCACCCCAAATTCATCCTTACCTGTATTACTACATATTTATATGTCCTTACATAGAAATCACAAAAAAGAACAAAAGTAAATGTGTATATCGTGCAGAAGTCAAAATAGTAAAGTACGGGATAAAAAAGAGCGAAAGCGGTATATGCTAGTTGAAGTGTGAAACTTTAAAAAACAGGAGGGAATGATACTACTACGTATTATATTACGTACGAAACATCAGATGATAATTAAGGAATATGCCAGCTTTACAGCTTATACTCAACGATCAATGAGCATTGACTTTCATTGCATAATTGAAAAAGGGACATCATTAATCCATTTTTGTAAGGCTATATAAGAAAGGCAAAGACAAGTACGTTATATGTATACTTGTATGACAAGCTCAAAAATATGAAGGGAAGGAAATATGTCAACGTTGAAGTTTTCCTGCTCATTGTTGCCATTGGTTTTCCTGCTCATTTGTTGCCATTATTGTCATGATGATGGCCACCAGTGCCGTAGCCATCGGCGCAGGTATAGCAGTCGACCACGACCCCATGGTCTGCGATGATCTTGGGAATTCTTGTTGGGCTGGTACTTGTTGCCGTTCCTGCAGCGGGTGGTTTAGTGACACTTGCCAATGAGATTGATGCATCTATTTACATGCGAGGCTGCCTGCTTCCTGACTCTTATTTACATTACCTTATTTTAGGTTAAATGGGACAAGTTAAATAAGACAGATGTATTACATTTATTTTACTGCAATTTTTGTTGTTTGATTTATTAATGTATTAAAAGAGCATGTCACAAACTCACAATCTCCCTTTTCTTTGTCATATAGTATGTGACTATGTGTTAGTTGGTACTCCATACTGTGTTATTCAAGTTTAATCTCAAGTAAGGCTAGAATTTGAAAGAGAGAAGAGGTTGCATCTTCATAGTTTAACTAAGACATTGATTTGAAGGTTGTCGTAATTGGTGACTTTTTCCTATAAATCTCTACTCCTGGTGAGAATTGAGGGTTAAAAATGGTTTTTTTTTCCTTATCACTATGTACGCCAATACTTAGTTATTTAACCAACCTATTACAGTAATTAATAAAGCAGTACAAGAAGATTGAAATCTCATGTTCAAGTTCATGGATTCACAAACCTAGAGAGAACTCCATAGATCATTTAGCGAGAGAAAGAGATGTGTTAAGACAGAATTATGTGAAGATATTATAATTATGTTAAGTTGTGATATGATATGTTTTGCATAGGATAGAATATAGAATATTTCTTGAGGTCATCATATTTTGTACTCTATTGATATTCTTTGCCAACTGATGAATAAATGCAAGCTTGATCTCACAGTTATTTCACATGGTATCAGAGCCCAGGTTGGATTGCGTTGTGATCTGGCCAATATTATGGACAACTCACATGTGAAGGGGAGTGTTGAGCCCATGAGAATACCCACATGTGAGTGTAAGTGTTGTCCTACATTAATCGAGTGTATAAGCGAGAGTTTGTATTGGGATGTGTATTCCACATTAAATAAAGTAGAAAATTGTGTTCACTTATAAGGCTAAGGGGCTACTCTCCTCATTGCCATATGGTTTTGAGGTGGAACCTCCTTGGACTTGTAAAGTGGACACTCGTGGCAGGTGTGGTCAGGCTCGTATATCAAGATGTAAGAGGAATTTTATTGTTATGACTGAGTGAGAAGATTACAGCTCCAATACTATTTACTTAATATACAACAGGATGATGATGTATTCTAACTAATCATCATTAAGCCTTTAAACTCGGAACGAATCAGAATGAAGTTATTACAAAGAATTGATATTAATACAAGATTCTGTTTTAACATAATTGTAACTAACTTCTGTATATTCAGGAGTTTGATCATGAAGCTTCTATTGAGCGGTAACTTGCTGACTGCAAATGCTTGCAGTTTGTCTTTGAGCTGTGCTGGCTGCTTTCCTGATTACTTGTTGACGGGCAATGGAGGTGCAGCATCAAGTTGTAGTTGATCTTGTTACTTCGTACTTCAAAATAGACCAACAATTGGAATAGAATAGCACACAAAGGAAAGCATCATCTTTTTAGCCACAAAGCTATTGAGTTTCCAAAAGGTTAAGATAATTATGAAGGACCATTTAATAATGGAAAATTTAACAAGAATAATCCAACCTTTGCCTCATTCTCCCAAAATAATCCAACCTTCTCATTAACCCTAAATAATCCTAAGTTTGCTATTTATTTTCTCCCACCAACCCTAGCAAGTCACCTTACCCTTTCAATCGGTTACCCATTCATGTGGCACTTCCTAATTGGTCAATTTTTTATTTTTAATTAAAAATAATATATTAAATTAAAAAAAAATATGAAAAAAAAAAAATTCTTTGAACTCCTTCCCCCTTTCTGCTCCTCTACCTTCCTCCAATATCAATTTATCACCCATCAAACCACTCAACACACCATCCACGGGAGAACCACCACCACCACCACTACCAACACAACCGAAAACAACACCCACAATATCAACACCACCCACAACACAACCAAAAACAACACCGTATCCACCAGGCCACCACATCAACGCCCAACGACCACCCCAATTCAACTTCAAATTCAATTGAGAGAAGAGAAGGAATATGGTGGGGGTTGGGGTTTTGAGGTATGGGTGGGGGTGGGGGTAGGTTGGTGGTTTCGGCTAGGTCAGGTTAGTGGTTTCGAGTCTAGGTAGGAGTGCGGGAAGGGTTTCGGGTCTGGGTTTGGGTAAGTGGGTTAAGTGGTGGCGGAGGTGGTGGTGGTGGCGGCTAAGTTGCGAGTGATTGCAAGAGGGTGGCACGTGGCTGGCTGGTTGACAGGGAGAGGAGGGAGTAGTGGGACGGCTTGGTTGACGGGGAATAGGGTAGGTTAGGTTGACGGTGAGGTGAGGTGGTGGCGGGAAGGTTCAGCGAGGTAAGGGAGCCATTGTTAATGGCTAGAAGCTTGAAATGGAGAGTGAAGAGGGGAGAAGGAAGGAGGGAAAAAGTTAAGGAAAAAAATAAAATTTATCTGAACTTCAGGTAACCAGTTAAATAGGCTTGGTATAAGAAAATAATAGTAAACTTAGGATTATTCAAGGTTTATTGAAAGGTTGGATTATTTTGGGAGAACAGAGCAAAGGTTGGATTATTCTTGTTAAATTTTCCTTTTATAATCTGTAACTTGCTTAAGATCCCATACTAAAGCCTAGAGGGTTGTTATGTGCTATCGTTGATTTTGGTAACCAAAGTAAACCATAAAGAACTTAAGAACTGTCAGGTGAATACATCACATTGAGCACATAGTGTGAATATCAAGAACATAACAATTAGTCATTCAGGTTAATATATATAACATTGAGCAAGTAGCTTGAATATCAAGAACATAACAATTTAGTCATTCAGGTTAATATATATAACATTGAGCAAGTAACGTCAATATCAAAATGATAGCTCTAAACAAAAAGATCTTTCGCTAATTTCATAAATTAAAACACCCTGATACAGGAATTCTGTAAGAATAAACAGTCAGGGTCAGCTGATGTAAACCTGTCAAAGAACTGTGCATAAACCCAAGTAAGGAAACCATTGCAGGGCTCGTGACTCACACAAACAAAAAATTGCAAACCATTTGAGTGATAGTATTAAGCACAACATACCTAGCCAGAGATTTCTTTGTCTTGCTGTATGCACGACTTTATGAAGTCGGCAATCACTGGGATTAGTTCATCTTGGTGCTCAGAGAAAGGATGATTTGCTCCTTCAATAATGTGCAATTTGTGGTTTGGTATTATCTTAGAGAATTCATATGCATCCTCAACTGGGGTAGTTTTATCAGCAGAACCATGAACAGTCAACACCCTAAAAAATTAATCAGAGAGAATAACTAGGAAATTCAAATAATGGTCCTCTTAAGATAAACTAGAATTCATTAGAAAATGAAAGGCTGATCATGAACACAACCACTTATGTGGTTCCCAAAATAGATCTTTATCATATGGCTGTTTATAAGCAGATATAGTTGCGTGAGAATGTGCTTATAACGTTATATAGCGACAAAAGTAAAGCATGTATAATAAAGAGAAGGAAAGGTGATATTCTTTTCGTAAAAACAAAAATAAAATATAATGGCATTTTTTTTTTTCGTATTTTGTGTTGTGCTGAGAAAGCAATAATTTATTCTCCAAACCTGCAATTTTTGTCAATCCTAAGGGCTGCTTCCTGCATATCCGTATTCAAGCGATCCATCGTATTTTCCTTGGTCACACGAAATAAGAACTTTCCTAGAAGATACAAAGTCATCATCCTCATCAAGGATGCCAAACAAGTATCAAGGGGGCAAGCAATAATACAAGCAGAAATGAGAACCTATACTGGAAAAATACACATAACTGGGAGTCTGGGTTAATCAATACCTGTTTTTTTACACTCCACATCTATGAATCCCTTCTTCTCGATTCTTTCCATGAAATCTTCACCCAAACGCTCTGCTATGCCTTTCTTTAAGTCATAACGCCCAGACAGATTGACAACTGTGCGGACATCATGATACTTCGAAGCATAAAGTAAGACAACATTACCTCCTGTAAGAACATGCTTTCAGAATATTTATCTTAACTATACAAAGCATCGATATATTAATGTTATGTTCCCTTGACTTTTCTACAAATAACACCTTAATGCAATTAGCAAAATCATATAAAAAGTAAGAATAAAATCAAAGTCAACACATTCCAGAGAACAGGGCCATACACATGGTAATGCTTGAACCCCCTCAAAGTCCATGCTTATCTTGTGATTCTGAATTCTTCTTTGGGCCATATGCCCATATGTAAGCTATGAAGTTAACATAGCTAATTTTTTTTATGCAAAGCGCAACACATAAAGATATTCTCATAACAACATGACTTTTTGCTATAGCTACTATATCTGCAGCTTTCGAAATCAGAGTCTATATCACTCTATGTCAATCGTAGGATGTTGATTTACCAAGGAAAAATAAAATTTGCCAGGAATTCAGGGAAACAAATGGCTGTTAGCTGATTGCAAACCAACTTGGAGCAAAAGAACTTTGACAATTGCATGCAATAGATAAATGGAAATGTCAAGGAACAAAAAATTGAAATCCATCGAAGGAATCTAAAATTGTTCTCTATCTGATCCTATTAGATCTTTCTGTTCTTAAACATAGGAACTAACCTTTACTATGGCCTAGAATTGCACTCACAATACGGTTTGCCCCATGGAAATGCTTGACAACAGCACGTATATCTTCAGCCTCTTTCACGTAGTTTCCATACGCAAATGCACCATCACTATCTCTGCATAACACAAGCACACAAAATTGAAGATTGCACTAAAAAGAAATAAAATGTAAAGGGTAATTAGGACTTAGAGTTGCATAAAACATAGGGGGCGTTTGGTATAGTAATTTTAGATGTAGGAAACGGAATCAAATAAATGTTTTCATTTCTAGTTATTTGATATATATTAAAAAAAAAAAACAAATACCGTTTCCTGAGGGTAACAAAATCCCCCAATTTGTTACCCTTGACAAACTAGTGGAAATGAAATACGTTTCCTCAATCACAATCTACTCAAATTATTTCCATTCTATTAGGGTACCAAATATATAGTAAAGGTAACGTTTATCATTACCCTTTCCCCTATTTATTTAAATCCTTTCCATTCCATTTACGGTGTTTATACCAAACATCCCCATAAGGTATATGACTAATTGACTATATTCCACCTGTCAATTATAAAACAGAAATTGAAGTAAATGTATGTAACTAACTAACTAATGTGAGACAACCCAAATTCTGAAGTGCCCAAAGAGGGGGAATGCCAGAAACTCCCAACCTTTCATCAATAAAAGTAACCCATTCCCAATGCCAGCCAAAAGCACCAAACCAGAAAAAAGTAGATGTATATTGTTTTTAACAATAAATAAATAAAAAATAAAAAAATAAAAAAAAACATATAAAAGGCTGCAAGCACCATACAAAGAAGGAAAAATATGGTGTTATTTATTTATTTAATTTTTTTTTTTCTCTATCAAAGTTATCCCAGTCTGGCCATTTTAAGGTTTTTTACACCGTGTCCTCCACCCTAAAGGTAGTTTAGATGTAAACCACTAAACATTTTGATAATTTGACATAATCTACAAACCATGGAACTTTCTTTCTATTAGCATGCAATTTACAAGAATATCAATCAGGAAATTTATTTCTATCAGCATGCAATTTACAAGATATTAATCATCACATACCCATTTCCAGAAAAGTCAAACCGATAGGCACTTATCCCTTCCTTCTCCAATGCACCACAGATATCAACCATTGTTTCTTGCTCCTGAACATAAGTAAAATAAGACCTAATTCAACAACAATGTATGACTCAAATTGATCAAGAGCATTTCTACCAAAATCAGCTAATTGAATTTGTTGCCAGAACACTTCGAATCAGACAAAATTACAAAATCTGCCCGTTGTTACTGCATTATATTTGTGCAGTAGTGCTAACTTGCATGTCATACATCGATGTTTTACGAACCTTAGAACTTTTGAACCCGTGACAGACTACCACAACATCTTTGGATCCTGTATCATGTAACAGCCCAACCAGCTTTTCGCTTTGATCGTTAACTACAACCATCTTTTGTGGCTGATTAACTGTAAGAACATGATGTTTCAGTCAATGTAGCAACCTTTTGTCTTAGTACTCTCTTTTAAAATAACAGCATAGTTTCTGAAATTAAACTAAAGTTCCATATTAAGCCCACAAATTTTACACTCAGTACTTGTTAATAAATAAACAAATGAAAGAATCCAAACTTACAGTAAATCAAAACCTTAAACCAGAAGCACTGAAATCACAATAATCATAGTTAAATATATAAATGCATTAAAAAAAATAAAATTACTCCTACAAATTATAATTATTAACATAAAAATAATTAAAAACAAAAACCTTTTTTTTTTTTTTCTTTTGCAGGAAACCAAAGGCAATTTTCAGTATATTAGAGCTAAATTCATGCAGAAAATTCAACAAATGCAAATAAAAGTTAGTGGGTATTTCACCTGCAATCAATTCAAGTTAAATTAATTTGAAGAGAGAGAAAAAGTGAAACAAGCACCTGAGTTAAGCGACATAGTTGGAGTTCTTGAGAAGTGACGATTGAATGAAGCTGGAAATCGAAGTTGATGATGAAGATGAAGTGGGTTTTTCTTTGCAGGATACGATTTTTCTGCAATTGTGGGATGATTGGCGAGCATTATAGTGAGCAAATTATGCAATGATCTCGCCATTTTTCTTTTTGTTTTTTAATTTTATTTTTCCGAATTCGCTCAAATTGAATAACAAATTAAAAAAAATCTAATATATATAAATAAAATAAGCATTTTTGAGAGCATTCGAAGCGCCACCTAAGAAATATACTTATTTCGACCAATCAGAAGAAAGATTTGTATTTTATTTTTGAATTAAAAAATTATTAAAAGTAACGAATTAGATTTGATATATCTAAAATTTTAATGCCACGTAGATTATAATCCACGAATTAAATTATTTTAATGAAAAAAAATAAAGTAAAAATATAGGAAAAGATAAATTTATTAATTCAATATTACGAGTATAAGAAATCCAAAAAAAAATATATTAAGAAATATTTAAATGATAAACGCTTATATTAAGTTTGATACCTATCATTATAAGATAAATTTTGATAGTATTTATGATAAGAAATACAAATTGTTCGTTAATTATAATTAAATTAAAATTTGTGATATCTACCGTTATAAATTGACACATCATACGATACAAATAAAATTTCGTATTAATAAAAAACTCCATCAAGCGAAATTTGTGTTAATTTTTGGTCATCAAAGGCCGGATAATTTTTAGCTTAATTTTTAATCCTATGTTTAAATTAGTATTTCTATGTTTACCAATATTTTTTAAAAATGAATATTATTTCTATTTAAACATAGGATTTTAATTTATATCAAACGAAGTTGGTGATTCTATCGATATAAAAGATATGGTAAAACAATGAATAGTGATTTAGGATTTAAATTATTAAAAATTTATCATTTCACATTATAGATTTTATATAACGGAAAAAATATCATATTTAAAATTTATTTATATTTAATAAATTCATTATAAATTATAGTAAAAAAAATAAAATTTTAAACTTTTGTAATTTTGTATAAAATTATTAAATACAATAAACCAAATAATTAAAAATCTTAGATGAAAAAACCGTGCATCGCACGGACTTTCATTTAGTTATTATTATTATCGTTAGATTCGTTATCATCTAGCCTCACAGTCACAATAATTTATTTTTTTTGAAGGTAAAACAAAAAGATTTTCTTAATGTTTTTAAAAATAAAATAAAATAAAATAAAAATAAAAATAAAAATTCTTTAAAAAAATTAGGATAATTATCACCGGTACACTCCAGCTTCTGGCTTTTAACTTTGGTACACTACTATGGTTTATCAGTGGTACATCCAAAGTTTCACACAGTTATCAGCGGTACACCTATTATAACCTTTCTGTTAAAAAAACGTTAGTTTTGGCTTTTTTTCGATTTTTTAACTTAAAAAAAATTAACTAACTATTTTTAACTTATTTCTTAAAAAAAAATAAAAAAGAAAAAAACCTTCTTTCTCCCTATCTCCCTTCCATGGCCTTCCTCCAACCCCTTCCACCACCTAGGCCAACAACACTGTGGCGCCACCCCCACCACCACCACCACAAACCTCGAAACCCCCACATCCCTTTCCCGACCCGTAAAGCCCCACCCAGCCCACTGCCTACCCCGAATCCACTTTTCCCAACCCCAGCTCGCTGAACCAGCCATCCTCACCCCCAACAATCAGTGAAGCCCACCCAAACCCACATCCCTTTCCTGCGTTTCGGGTCAAATTTAGCAAAGGGGGTTACGGGTGATTTGTAAAAGGAATGCGGGTAGGGGGTTGCAAAAGGGATCACTGGCGAGAGGGGTGCCGACGGGGTGATTAAGGGAGGGCGTCACCGGCGGGATGGGGGTCGGGTGCCGAGAAAGAGAAGGGATGCGGGCAGGGAGGGCAGGGGGAGGGCTTGGTTTTTTTTTTTTTTTTTTTTTTTAATATAATGATAATAATAAATAAGAAAAATTAATCTAACTTTTTTAAAAATTTTATTTTATTTTATTAGACCAATCACGGGCTGCCACGTGTCAGTTTTTAAGTTAAAAAATCGAAAAAAGTCAAAACTAACGTTCTTTAAACGGAAAGGGTACGATAGGTGTACCGCTGATAACTATGTGAAACCTTGAGTGTACCGCTGATAAACAATAGTCAAGTAGGTGTACCAAAGATAAAAGCTAGAAGCCAAAGTGTACCAGTGATAATTATTGTTTCTTTAAAGTGGATTTATGGATTATTTACGTTTTAACTTATTTAAGACAAAAAAAAAAAAAAAAAAAAAAAAAAAAAAAAAAAAAAAAAGAGCTCAAATACTCAATAAGTTAAATTAAATTTCAAAAGCTTTCGACCATACAAAGTAGTACAAAATAAAACAATTAGATTAATCCCTCTGATAAATTCAAAGCTATGATGTAGGTTACAAAATATATACTCGTACTCTGTAGTGTTTATAAAGTGTTAAAAAAGTCTTGAGGACTTATTATCATATACAGTGTCCTTTCTCTAAGATTCTAGTTTCTAAACTGATAATAAGCTACCATAGATTGTGACAGCAAAATCATACTATCATAATTAGGAGCAGCCAATTTAACCAGTTCTACAGTCGTCTTATACACACCATTGTATAGGTAATATAACTTAGGTTTTGCCTATGGAATACATAAATACTACGCATGAAGGACCTTAGCTCTGAAGAAATGCCCTGATCGACGAAATAAATGATCTGCTAATGTACACCTGTCAAAGAAAATGAAGGCTAAATAAGCAATTGAAGAGCTCGATTCCAAACACACGAAATATTGCAAGGCATTCCAGGGGTAGTAGTAATAAGCACATCATACCTAGCCAGCACTTTCTTTGTCTTGCTGCATGAATGACTTAATGAATTCAATGACAACTTGGTGTAATTCAGGTTGGTGTTCAGTGAAAGAATGATTTGCTCCTTCTATGATGTGTAATTTATGGTTTGGTATTATCTTCGAGAATTCATATGCATCCTCAATGGGGATTATTTCATCCGCAGATCCATGAACAGTCAACACCCTATTAACATATAAAAGAGAGCATCACCTTCTGAAAAATTTATGGAGTACACTAAAATTTATGGCCATTTATGAACACAATCTTTACTCGCTTCTGAAAAATTGTCTAATTGAATGGTTGTTAATAAGCATATCTAGTTTGTGAAAGTGATACAATTAAGACGATTTTTCATTGTATCATTTCACAAACTATTAGTATACAAATGCTAAATTACAGGTCATTACTTAAATTTTGGATATAGAGGTAGTTAGAAAACGCTTCTGTCAACATTCACATATGACGCCATAATAATGCTGTCGGATAGAAAATCAGCCTGCAGCCCCTTAAAAGTATCTCAATCAATCATCCAGATAGCAGGCATATGTTTATAAACACATGAAAGACACATCACTCAATCTATGCACGGCATGCAGGTAGTTTGAGCTATTAGTGTGCCATATGTATAATCAATTAAAATTGCTACAGAAAATACAGTATTACACTCCACAGCTAATGCACTGGTGATCCTTAACACATTAAGATCATACTGCTTAATTTATTCATTGTCAGCTCAACAGATAACAAGCAGGTATTGTCCGAATTGCAAGTGTTTATTACACGTAAAACATTTCAAGTGCAGAATTATATTCAAGATTATCCCACTATGCAGTCTAGAAGGAAGTACTCATCGTCAGAGAAGGATATTTCCACTATTAGTACTTACTTCACTTCCCATTTTAAAAATAAATAAATAACCAAATAAAATCTCCATTCGATCTAGCACCCCAACACCCAAAGGAGACTAACATGAGAGATGAAAAGGGAGGCTGAAACTATGATTTCCACGTCATATGCATAATTCCAAGCTACTCATCAAATTTCATCTTAAGCTTTGAATAACTTTCTTTATAGCTCTCCAATCTCCACTTCAATGAAGATTAATAGACACTAACCAACCACCAGTCACTTTTACCTCTATAATTCCATATGTTGAGTTTCATTGAATAAGTCACCCCATCTTTACTATTCAAATAAATTCAGGTTTTGCACTCTCCAGATGGCATTGTACTGAGTTACCATGATAACATATGTTGCCAATAACATTGCTACAAAGCCTAAATCCCACCAAGGCAAGTAGGGAGTTTGAGATTTAAGAGGCTCAAAGGTAGACATCCATAGTTCCATACCCATGCAATTGCAAAGTGGCTCTCAGCCTTATCCGTCCAACTGTAGACAAGGTGATTTTTGTTAAACTTTTGATCCAAAAAGGTAACTCACTGGCATACAGCTTCGTTGCATAAACAAACAGCACTACAATACGTGACTTGACATAGTAGACACTCACTTTAAACCTATAAAGGCTTCCAATTTTGCTGTAGATGGACAGATTATATTGTATTGCAAATATCACATGTATCATAATATACAGTTGTACCAACACACCGAGCCTTAATCCCAACAAGTGAAATCAGGATGAGAACAGTAAATGCAACGAAGACATATAGCAATCATTTGAATAATTAACAGTCGATTGTGTATTTTAAGAACTATTTCTATTAGTTTCTATACATAAAACATTCATAAGGGATCTAAATGTTGAGTTGAAAATTTTCTCAAAGATCATTCAAGTGGTTTTCTACAACTTTCAGAAAATTGATGTACAAAACTTGAATTCATCGTGAAAGTAAAGAGAGCACGTCAAAACAACAGTGTGGCGAAAGCAAAGCATCAACAACAATTACAATGACCAAATTTGTGTTAAGAAAAAAGATATGTTATCTCAAACCTGCAATCTTCATTAATCCTAAGGGATGCTTCATGCATATCCGTACTCAAGCGATCCATCAAATTTTCCTCCGTCACACGATATAAAACTTCTCCTGAAAGATGCCAAAACATTGTTGGGGTAAATTTCATTAAGGACTTCAATTAGACAATTTACATTTGATTTTTTTTTTTCCCCGTAATATGGAGAGACCTTCATTTTCAGCTGAAGAAAAGAAGATAGAGACAGCGCAGGATCATGCTGTACATTCAAAAAACATCTCCATACTTTAGCACCTAAAAAATGGAATACCCACCCACAAAAAAACCCCTAGTGGGATTTGAACTCATGACCTTCAAGTCATGACTCATGAGGCCAAACCCTTACCACTAGGCCAAGTCTTGGTTGGCAAACATACATCTTATGAATTGTAAATATTCTAAGGCCTTGTTTGGTTGACAATGTAAAACGGGGGAAGTGAAAATTCATGGTATTTGATGAGTTGGAAACTGGTTTGGTTGACACACATATGAAAATATGGAGGAGGTGGAATTTCAGGGGAATTTCAACTTCCCACAAAACATAGGAAGTTAATTACCTAGTCCCCCCTTGGTCAATCAAAATTCATGGGACTTTTAAATTCCCACATTGCCAACCAAACAAGTTTAGGAAATTCCTAGGGAAATAACTTCCCATGAAATGTAAGTTCCTACGGGAATTTAATTCCCACGTCAACCAAACGAGCCCTAAGATTAACTACTTTTGTCCCATAATATAGTGTTTATTCCATTATTTTTGTCAAACTTTTTAATTTTTGAGTAAAATTTCCCATACATGAAGTATATACAATTATATATAGTCAATTGAGATATCGATAGATAAGTCTCATTCTGTAGGTTTGTAATATCAAAATTTTAAGATATTAATGGTCAAAGGTATGTCTTAAACTCCATGCAAAACAAAATAGACACTGTATAATGGGATGGAAGGAGAATATTATAATAATTGATTAATAATAAAATCCAAAAGTAAATTTATTTTCCAATGATTCAAACTTATTTGTTAGACGAATATTATTTCAGATTTTGTATGAAATGTTATTTCACCATCAAAATTCAATATGGACTTCAAAATCCATATTTGAACTCCAATAAATAAAAGCAAAGAAAATTAGTCATTGACGGCAATATCTTTAATACATTTTAGAATACATTCATTCATTAAATTTGATTTATTACCAAATAATCAAGGGGTTTCCAGTGATCGTATTTCCAATATAAGGGTGGTACGTCAGCCAGAGGTGGTGGTGGGAAGGAGGACAACACGTGGGTGTTAGTTGTGGTGGCTTCCGGTGAGTTGCACGTGGGGATTAGTGGTGGTGGCTGTACACGTGGTGCTCACTTTGGTGAGTGAAAAATGAAAGTGTGTGGGGTGGAGTTGGTTAATGAGAGGGGAAAAAGGGAACTTTCCTCCATAAATGCTGGTGTTATTAAGTAGTACACGGGCGTCATTTAACAAACTTTGAAAAAATAGAGTAATATTCCCTGTCCTATCTTGAACAACATTCAATATACTGAGAAATTTAAGGGTTAGGTCGGTTTACTTTTGAATAGGTGTATGATCAAGCCTATCACATACACATTGCCAAGCATGAAAGTCTCTCAGCCATGTCAAATTTGTTGAGTATTGGTTAAAGAAGACATAAAATAACACTAAGGTTGCAAATATATAAACAAAACCAATATCTACCAAATTCAGATGATTGTAACAGAAATTAAGGAGTCAGTTGCTACTTGACACAAGTATCAAGGGGAAATTGGAAATAGAAACAAAAATGATAATCTGGAGCAAACTCAAAGTTTAGCACAACTTCTGAAATGAAATGTTATTGAGGAAAAATTCACATACCTGAAACAATGAATTGGTTAACGGATCTATACCTGTTTTTTTACACTTAACATCAATATATCCATTCTTCTTGATTCTTTCCATGAAGTCTTCACCCAAACGTTCTGCTATGCCTTTCTTTAAGTCATAACGTCCAGAAAGATTGACAACCGTGTGGATATCATGATACTTTGAAGCATACAATAAGACAACATCACCTCCTGCAAGAACATCCTTTCAGCAAACTTTCAGCTATACAGAGCATTAATGGATCAGTATTTCCCTTGAAATTTTCAACAAATCCAGATAACATTAATGCTTGAACGGGAGATCTTTCAAAGTTCATAGCTCTAAATCAGCCTAATGTTTAATTATAAATAATATAACTTAGAATAGTTGTTAAATAACACTAGTTCTACATCAGTAAGGAGCCATACTTTTGCATATTGAAGCAAATCTCCATTTGTTCAATCCCCATATTGGTGACTGAAGCACTAATTTCGTTAAGGCAAATAATGGAGAATACCCTTATGGAAACACGAGGGAGGAGGGGGGTTCACCCATAAATATGATCTAAAATGTTAGAATAGTTCTTACTTTCTCAGTTTGTGGACCTATGAGATTTTGTCTTTACAGATCCCACAGCATGGTTAACAATTGAAAGATGAAGAGGAAGAACTATTAGACAATAACAAATACTGAAAATTTGGTTGAAAAAGAGAAATCACGGTTATTAGCTTATTGCAACTCAGTTAGAAAATTTTCGCAATAGTATCGGATATATGATTGGACCTGCCATGAAAAAATCTAATTTTATCATATAAAAAAATCTAAATTTGTTCTTCATTTAGGAAATTTTATGTACTTATATATAGGAACTAACCTTTACTATGGCCTACAGTTGCAGTCACAATACGATTTGCCCCATTAAGATGCTTGACAACAGCACATATATCTTCTGCCTCTTTCATGTAGTTGCCGTAAGCCCATGCTCCATCACTTTCTCTGCATAGCACAATCAAGATAGATTGAAGATTGCACTAAAAAAAAGTGTCAAAGGTAAAAGTACATAAAAGACAAATATTCAACCTGTCAATTATGTGCCAAAAACTAAAGAATGTAATTACAGTATAAAGAACAGATTTGGAAGTACTCAAAAGAGGGGGAAGCTCCTATTCATTAGCCATAATAGCTGATAGCCATTAAAAACTCAGAGAAAGCAAACTCTTCCAAACACTTCAAAAAAACAATAAGACCATAATCTGCCACCAAAAAGTAACCTCTTCCAAACACTCAAAAAGTAATGGTCATTGGTATCCACATCCAGACTACTAAACCCTAAAACCTAATCTACCACCAATGTCGCCCCAAGGTAAGATTACACTTCCAAAACACCATAAGGCCCTGTTCTTTTGAGCTTCTGGCAGAGTAGGGCAAGGCAAAGCAGATTTCAGCACAGCAGAGTAGATTTCAGCAGGAGGGCAGAGCAGCTTCCAACACAGCAGAGCACAGCAGAACAACTCAAAAGAACAGGGCCTAACTCACCTAACACCACCACAATGCATGTCCTAAATTAGACATTAAAACAACTGCAATTAACCAAGACAGTAGTAAATTTGGGCAATATTTCAACACTGTGACATTAACTAAAAAAGAAACAAACACCACAAAATTCAAGGCTGGCTGTTAACCCATATTCCTAGCACCAAACAAAACAAAAAAAAAAAAAAAGAAATTTTAACGCTTTCTGCTACCAAGATCTCAAAAATCCAAAAAACCTTCCTGCCTTCGTCCAATCAGCAGCCATCAATCACTTATTCAAGAAACTTAATTCAAAGCAAAATTTCAATGGTGTTCACGGCAGGTAGCTCAAGGCTAGCCAACTACATCCTTCTTACTTGGATGTAACTGCTTGTAAGTCCACTATATGGACTTTTGCAGTATTATTATTCTTGACAAGCAATTTAAACATACTAATAATAAGTTCTAAATCCTAAAATCTCACGCAATGATGCAAACAAGTTGAAGTGGAAACTTAAAGATTTTCTAAAAACCAAGGAGATTTCTTTCAATTAGCATGCACCTTACAAGATTATCAATCATCACATACCCATTTCCAGAAAAATCAAACCGATAGGCACTTATCCCTTCCTTCTCCAGTGCAACACATAAGTCTACCGCGAGTTTGTGCTCCTGAACACAGGTACAATCAGAAGGCAATTTTACACCAACGCGGACTTAAACAAACCAAAGAACATTAACATTTCTATAATTCTATCATAACCATCTAAATTAAATTGCTACTGGATAAAGTAGCTTATGAATTTGCCACTAACCTTACCACCCACAAACCCATGGCAGACTATCACAACATCTTTGGACCCTGTATCATGTAACAGCCCGACAAGCTTTTCGCTACGATGGTTGAGTACAGTTATTTTCTGTAACTGGTTTACTGTAAGAATATGACAGCATCTGAGTAAAAATCAGTCACAGTAAATGCCACTCACATATCAGATTTTCTCTGCTACAAAATGTTAAATTCAAACTTCTCATCTCAAAGAACATTGAATTTCCTGTTAATATAACAAATTAAACTTAACAACCATTCTTGCCCACAACTAATTTTTGTAAACTTTGTCAATTTTAGCTAATTTATGCAACAATTCATACAATTGCTAGAAATTTTTGTGGGTATGTCATAACAAATTTTCTTACTTACCACCATATAAATGGCTAGAAAAACATCAAAAATGCAAAATTAAATGAGAAAATCGAATACCCTAAATTGGAAAGAAATTGAGTGAGTAGTGATACAGGAAGAGAAAGAAAAGTGAAACAAACCTGCGTTTAGCGACATTGTTAGAGTTGTTTTGAAGTTACGATTGAATGAAGCAGGAAATTGGAATTGATGATGAACTGGGAAGTTATAATGAGAATATGGTCTTTTCCAGAATGTGGGATGATCAGCGAGAAGTACTGCGCCCAAGTTACGCAATGATTTCACCATTTTCTTCTTAATTCTACGGAGTCTTTGAACCTTGTGTAATTTTATTTTTTTTATTCAAATTTTTAAATCATGGATCTATCTATATTAGGAGCAGCTTATAATGAGAATCAATCCTATAACAGGAAATATGAACTAATCTGGACCGTCAGATCTAGCACCAAAAGCGTGCGATCTAACGGCCCAAATTAAATTTTCACTTTCATGATTTTCTCTCTCCTCTCTCTGTGATTTTCTCTCTCCTCAAGCATTTTCTCTCTCCTTCATTGCAATGAATCCTCTGATTTCTCCATTGAAGCGGCTTTCGAGCTTTCTCTACTCTAATAAAGTAGCTTTTGAGGTAAGATGTTTGTTTTTTTCTTTATTTTTTTCAAAAAATTAAATCACGAATTTCACTTTCATTGGTTTTATCGTTAATTGTTTTTATCAATTTAGGGTTCTTTTTATTTGGATTTATAAAATTTGATAATGTTTGAAGTTTATTGTGCTTGAATTTGGTATAATAAATCGATGTTTAGGGTTTGATACTTTTTTTGCCTAATCAGATTGTATATCCTACCAATTAGCTGCATAAATTTGCAAATTCATCAACAATTTACTGTTTTTTTTTAGTTTAGCTAAGTGATTATAACTGTTTGTATGGTGAAATTTTGAGGCTCGTAATTATGCGAAATTTCAGAGATGTTGGAATTTTTTTTTTTTGTTTATTTATTTTCAGTATGATCAATTTAAAGTTCATAATACTGAAAGTCGAATCATATAAAAATTTTGATTCAAAATTTTGGCGAATTCACTTCTATTCAATTCCTAAAATTTGGTATTTTTATTTCACTGATTTGTGCTTAAATTTCATTAAAATTTAAGCAAAACAAAGTGAATGCACACTAACGATTTGACAAATTGCCCCAATGAACCATATTATTTTATTAATTTCAAAAGTAGTTAGAATAAGTAAAAGTAAATCAATTATATGCTAAAGTAAATCGAATTGAGTGACATTGTGAATGAATGCTAAATTAAATTTCTAGCCTAATTTTTTTTTAACTTTGTATTTGTACTGATCATTAGTCGCTTCCTGCTTCTTCTGGTGTGCAGGACTTGGTTTGTTTCTTCTGGCTATTTGAGTTGCTTATTATGTAATTGAGGTAGTTGGTGCAAACCCTATTGCATGCTAATTCCTCTTTGCCCACGTAAGGCTCTGTATTTGCTTCTCAATTCTTACTTTTCTGAATGCCAACCTATTATAGAAACCTGTCATTTAGACATTTCTGCATGCCTTACAGCCTTATTGCCTTAGAAATGTATTGCTAGCCTCTCTACAACTTTGTGACACAAGGGATAAGGATGCTTATATCCAGCCTGTCCCAAGTTCTTTCTACCTCATAGATGTAACTTTCAGAAAGGCTCAAAATCTTTAACTAGACAATGTTGAAGCAATTTGCTGCTCAATTTTCCAATATATATATATATATATATATATATATATATATATATATATATATATATATATATATATATATATATATATATATATATATATATACGGGATCATGTGAGAACCCATTCCTTAAATGAGAACCCATCATATGTGAGAACAACTTACAACCATTGGACCAAATTAGATCCAACGCTCCAAACTCTATCCAGTCAAAGTAATGGCACTTTTTGTAAATAAAAGAACTTTTTAAGTTGTATTTAAGAAACTTTATAAAAATTAGTCTAGTTCTTTCTCTCTCTAAAATGGTTCCAGCTAATTCTCTTTCTCCCTCTAGAAATTGATCCAGCTTTTCCTTTCTTTCTCCTATCCCATAGTTCTTTGGTTGTAATGCCTCATTATCATCAATTTTCAGCTTGAATCTTCAACTATTTTGTTAGGTTTGTAATAATTACTTATTATTCGATTTTTGGCTTCAATCTTTAAATATTGTTAACTTATAATTTTTTCCGATTTCATTTTAAACCTTAGAAATCGTGAATTGCTAAATTGATTCAACACAAGATCCCAACAACGAAGCAAAATCTATAGCTCTTACCTATGAAGGAAGAATGTAAGTAACAATTTATTGATTTTTATTTTGTAGCGTTTTTATCTGTCAACACAATCAATTTATTGATTTTTTTTCATTTTTTTTCACTGTAATTGAGCAATTGCAGAATTGTGTTATGTATTTCATTTGTATTCTGGAACTTTAGAAGTAAAATACGGTGATTACAATCAATGTATTTCATTTTTGCCAATGATGTATGAACTTTGATGAATGGTGTTAATTTTATTTTAATTTACTCATTTTAATTTGCTCATTTTATTTTGACATGAATGGCCTATGATGATTCCTAAACATTTCACATGAAATGACATTGGTGTTGAGTTGGTATAAAATTTTACTTTGATGTTTTGTGGAGTTGAGAAATTTGAGTTATGTGGATTTTATATTGTCAAAGGAATTTAATATGTTCTGATTATTAACAAAGGTTTGTTTTAGATAAAATGGTACTATTACAGAAGTAGGAATGCAGGTTTATATGGGCGTTTCAAAATTAGGAGTTTGTTGAAGTAGTTTTGATGAGTTATGCTAAATAATATTTATCAGTATTCTCTTCTATAACAATATTTGACAAGCCATCTGCTACATAGAGTCTGGAATGCGTTATGGAAGCTAGGCAAGGCAAGGAGATCATGGCAGAGCCCCCATGAACATGATGGTCTTCTTGGAAGTGGCTCTTTTCCTAGACCTGCTGGATATGCAGAAGGTGCACCAGTTCCAAGGCTCTTTTACCACCCTCGAGTCTGTGTAGTTGCTCGCTAGGAGTTGTGCTTCTATATTTTAGGAATGCATGTTGCTTGTGGAGTCTCCTGACTTTTGCGTGTTTCTCATAAACTATCAGTGAGGAGTGCAAGTACAACTAGATACTATCAGTGGTGCAAGTACAAGGAGAATAAGGAGTATAGTTGTTTGTGAATTAGTGTACATGAAGAATAGGAAGTATATGCTAGAGATGAACAGCAATGTCTCAGCTCAATTTTGGCTAAGTTTGGATAAATGTTTTCTGACCCAAAGTGTCATCCCGTCTATGATTAGCTTTCTTTGAAGGAAAATTATGTCAAGTAGCAAGCTAGAAACCTACTACCCTTTGGCCTAGTTGAGTTATAATTATGACTTTGTTACCAAACCTGAGAGCTAAGATTTTCGGACTTGACTTTTATTATCACTTTTGTTGAATGAGAAAATTATTCTTTGCTCATTTGTTAAATGAACAAATTTTTTTGTTTGCTCATTTTTCAAATGAGCAAATTATTATTTGCTCATTTGTCAAATAAGCAAATTATACTTTGCTCAAAATAAATGATGACATTTTCCTCTTTTATTGAATTTTGGCTATGGCCAATATAGGGGTTTCAGAGGCTGATGATGGCCTAAACCTTCAATCTTACTTCCCTAGTCAACAATGGAAAGTCAGCTAATGCCAAAGTAGTTTAACCTTTCCCTTGTTGATTGCTCCCGCCTTTCATTAATTTTTATCCATTACAGTGATGGTTTATACTTGTAGTAATTTTATATGCTGCAATTAGGCGACCCATCATTCATAATTTGTCATTTAGAGCTACTTGTTTTGTGTCCCATCTATTTAAAGCAGATTTGTTTTTTGGATTTATACTCATACAAGTTGTCATCTGGAAACATGACTTTTCTTTAGTATTGATGCTTTTATTCTTTGCTTATTTGTCAAATGAGCAAATTGTTCTTTGCTCATTTTTCCAAATGAGCAAAGAATAAAATGCTTCCAGCTAAGATGTTTTACATTATCTATTTTATTCTTCTGCTTCCTATTTCACCTTCCTTCCTGCATTTATATTTTTTAAATTTTTCTTGTGGCTTTATTTTTTCTATTATTTCTTACAGGTGATAATCATTGAAAACTTCGTGTGAAGTACACCCAGTCAATAATTTCAAGTGAATTAAACACAATTCAGTCCGTTAAACAAATTCCTCAGAAGAAGAAAAAGCAGGAGAAAGTTTCTGTTAAGGCTGAAGAAGAAAAGGCTGAAGAAAGCTACTTGTTATGAAACCTCGGTATTTTACTTGGTAGTGTTGATTTAGATACTTGGTGGTGTTGATTTGGCTTTCTATGTTTAGGGAAGTAGAGAAAGAATGATTTTATCAACCTGTAAGTAGTTTATTAGTGTTGATTTGAATCGAAATTAGATACTTAGTTTGAATTGAAATTAGATATTTATTAGTCTTTGAATGATGTAAAAATGGTGGTTATATTTGAATCGAAATTGGATCTTTTGTGGTGACTTTTGATTATGGTGACTTTTGTGGTGGTTATATTATGGTGACCTTTTTTTTTTTTTTTTTATTTATTATGGTGACTTTTATACCTAGCGTTTTTTTTAAAATATATGCTCATTTTACAAATAAGCAACGAACTATTTGCTCATTTTACAAATAAGTAAGGAAATATTTGCTCATTTGTCAAGTGAGCAAATAATTGATTGTTCATTTCACAAATGAGCAAAGAAATGCTTGTTGATTTAATGAATGATTAAAGAAAAGTTTGCTCATTTGACAAATGAACAGCTTATTATTTGCACATTTGACAAATGAGCAACTAAGTTTTTGCTCATTTGTTAAATTAACAACTAACTATGTGCTCATTTGACAAATGAGCAACTAAGTTTTTGCTCATTTGTTAAATTAGCAACTAAGTATTTGCTCATTTGACAAATGAGCAAAAAATTGATTGCTCATTTCCCAAATAATCAAAAAATTGATTGTTCATTTCCCAAATGATCAAATAAATGTTTGCTTATTTTACTAATGAGTAACTAATTATTTGCTTATTCGACAAATGAGCAAACTAATGGTTGCAAAGAAATGCTTGTTGATTTAATGAATGATAAAGAAATGTTTGTTCATTTGACAAATGAGCAACTAACTATTTGCTCATTTGACAAATGAGCTACTAAGTTTTTGCTCATTTGACAAATGAGCTACTAAGTTTTTGCTCATTTGTTAAATTAGCAACTAAGTATTTGCTCATTTGACAAATGAGCAACTAAATATTTGCTCATTTGACAAATGAGCAACTAACTATTTGCTCATTTGCTAAATGATCAAAAACTTGATTGCTCATTTTCCAAATGATCAAAGAAAAGTTTGCATATTTTACAAATGAGTAAGTAATTATTTGCTTATTTGACAAATGAGCAAACTAATGGTTGCTCATTTTACAAATGAGCAAAGAAATGCTTGTTGATTTAATGAATAGTTAAAGTGATGTTTGCTCATTTGACAAATGAGCAACTAACTCTTTTGCTCATTTGTACGAACTATATGTTCAAAATAATAGCCAAAGATCCATATGATCCAATGATAGAATCAATTGCTACAAGTTTATTCAATAGCTAATTTGCTCAACCTCATAACATTCCGATGACTAATGAAATCAATTTCATAATGAACAAGACACTCTTACATGTTTAAGAAAAA